TCGAAAACAATTTTCGAAAAGAAAATTTTAAGGTATTGAACTTTGCAACTGCATATCCTTTAAAAAATTGAAATTTGATGATGAAAACTGTATAGTAGTTGTTGTGCTATAAGCAAGCAGACAAAGAAAAAAAAGTACATTTTTCTGTGGATATGATAATTGTAACAGACAGCCCAGAAATTAACATATTTCTGCACTTAATAAACAGCATAGTGTACTGCTACACTATGACTTCATAGTTGATTACATTTTCCTTCATTTAATTGTTTATTATTGTAAACATAATATTCATGAAAGAAAATGATATTTTTAAGAGTCATTCATATCATTTCTGTATAAACTCGTTTTTCTTGTAAAAAATGGTATATTAGTGTTCATGATAAGATTACCATTGTTTTAACTACAGCATGGTAAAATGCTGTAGTTAAAACTATTCTAAACGAAATTAAGAAAAATTCCAGGTCATGTTGTGGACATTGTGTCGCATCAATAAACGGATTGTTTTCTAACGTAAACTGGCACCGTAAGCTAGCGCTTGCTATTATGATTAATATTTTTTATCAAGGCTGGACAAAGGTATACGTATCAGGGACATCGGAGACAGGGAGGACGAGATGTAAATTTCGGAGTAAATTTTTATGCTTTTAAAAACTAGACCAAACTAAAACAAATTTTTTTATTTTCTATCAAACACAGAAAGAGACAAAACAAATGATTTACTTTGAAAATGGAAGTCTATGTCTTAGTCCGAAAATAGAAGTAAATATCTTACTTTTGAAAAGAGAGTAAATTCCTAACTACGAACCTCAGAGTAAGCCTTTTACTCTGAAAATGAGACTAACTGTCTTACTCTGAAAATACGAGTAAACGCTTTACTCTGTGGGATATTCTCGTAAGTCAAAGACCTAATTTTCGGAGTAAATTTTTTCAAAAAGTAGGGACCCTTATCGGGGCCCCCTGATCTATCTATGTGCAAATCAGAGCTTGCTAAGTAGTTCTGTGACAGAAAAAATATATACCAAGCCATCTGCAAAGAAGAGCAAAAACGGTGAACTTTCATAACGGGGGTTTTATTCGATTTCTTCTGCCAGAGAACTAATTCAAGAAAAAGTCAGTCGCTTCTTCTCTTCACACAGAGACGAGTCGAAAGAGAAGCAAGCGCCGACAACGTTTTGAAAATCTCTGGAATAAAAAAGTCTAAAAAGCTTTAGAAAGTCTAAAAAACTTCTAAGTCTGGGATAAAGCCGATGAAGGGTAAATTGTCTAATTAGACTTTTGACTTCTACACCAGTCAAATGTACTCGAACATATGATGGTGGGAATTTTACTTGAAATACTTCTGGAAAGAAATAATTCTTCAATGAACGATTCATACTCAACATAGCAATCTTTGCACTATAAATAATGTACGACACCGTCAGTTTTAGATCGTTTTTTCGCTTTATTCATGAGACAAAAATTTGATCGAAAAATATTGTGGTTCGGGCGCAGGAAAAAAGATGGCAAGATAAGAAAACGGCACACCTTTTTCGGTTTTTCCCCATATTCATCACTAATCACTTCTCGGTAAAGAACCAGCTAACTTACGGTTTTATCACACTGAAATTTATCATAGAGTAAATATTATTACCTTGGAGAAAACGTAAAAACCGAATAAGAAGAATAAACACAAAAAATACAAAGAGAGCCTATATAAAGAAGCTTCGTTAGTATTACTTGTTTCATATTCAGTCTAAAGTGTTACTCAAATAACTATAGAACATTACGACATTTCGAATTCTATCCTCAATCAATGAAATTCCTTCTGCTTCTGTTGGGATGTATGTGTTCCGCATGGATGATAAATGGACAAAATGTGTGTTATACTAATGTCGGATGCGACAGCAGCGTCGCATATTGCAATTATGTATGTGAAGATAACAAACCAGGATCGTTTGGAAGCTGTCCTCAAGATCCATCACATCAATGTTATCGTAAATGCCTGTGTGCCTACATCAAGCCAACTGCCGATCAAATCTGTATGAATGGGCGATGCAATGGTGGTATTATGGGTGATATTGCCTGTAATGATCGTTGTTTAAACAGTTACAATAAACATGGTTCATGTCAACTGAATAACAAGCATCAGTGTTATGGTCAATGTATTTGTGAACAAGATCGAGAAACAATCGGTTAATATCAATTCAATTCTTTCGGACTGCTAACTTTTTTCCTTATTAAAATCCAGAAAATATTTTATTCAATAAACCAGAAGCTATTAGGTTCCACTTTATTTCATTATAGCTAGGAAAGTCACTATCTGAACTAAAGGAAACGTGGGCATTTCCTTAGAAGTATGGAGATCATACTTCGATATACAGAATATTCGATGCCTTCTCTGGAAATCACATGAGGTGGAAGAATTCGTTATGCTGAATCCGAAAACGACATGTCGAAATCATGTGCAAAAAACTTCGAAAAACTATTTTAGCTAAAGTTGTATACATAATAATTAAAAGAATTAATTTGTTGTGTACAACCAAACCTAAATAATCTGCTTTCTGCAAAATAACGCAAAAGAAACAGTGAATCATCACGATGACTCCTCGTTGTTCTGGAAACACACCGGTTGCATTCTTGCGTTGTAACGCAAACAGTTCGCTCTTGCAGAATTACGCAAAATTTCGTGTACACACAAAATTGTATTTATTTCGCTCGTATGACCATATTTTGCGTTACTCCACTTAGATTTCTGCATGCGTTTTTCTGCGTAAAATATGAAAACTTTTTTTGGAAATTCCTACATGGGAAGCTAAGAAACTTGACGACAAATTGTCAAAACTAGCCATCCATATAATTTTGAGCACTACTGTAAGATCTTGTCACTCTTGCCACTCGTTGTCATTTTCTTCCTCTTCAACTTCATTTTTTATCAGTGGCAAAATATGTTGTTTTGTGTATCGTTCGACCGGTTCAGCGATGCTTTCAGTTCGGCTGATTACATTTTGTATTCTGCTTGATGCTGGTGGTAATCATTGTCGTTTATTTGGTTCGTGTTCGGACTGACATTGGTTGATATCAGTGATTGATAATGGCCGTTTTCCATTAGTTGTAGCTGAAGATTGTAACATGGGCGGTGAAAATGGAACAGGCGATGTTGTTTGATTGGTTGTGATTGTCGTTCGCGTTGTCGCTTCTCTTGGATGTTGTCCAGTAAATGAAATGGATGACTGAGTTGACATACCACGATTTACTTCTGGCAAATGCTCGACCGGACCTCTGTTGGTCATCGCTAGAACTACCACTACTATCTGCTTAAAAAAACAAGACAGTCGATTAGTTTTTGAGTAACTTTTGGCAGGAATGAGGTAGAGACTTGCGATTTTCGGCATTCGATAGCCAACACTTGTACGTATCTTTACACAAGCAAAAGCCAAAATATTTTTTGAAAAAATTTCAAAAACTGCATTTTCAGAGGATCCTTGGAAATCCTGGTCATTGCTCCCAGAAGTGGCATAGAAATATGCTGATTTTTTTGATGGATTTGTACTCCGAACTGTCCTCTACAAAACTGGACCTAAGCGACACCTTGAAAATGCTTCGGAAGCTATGAACAGTTTTCCTGAAGCCTTAGCACCCCTCTGCCGTTAGGTTTGGGACTGTCAGAAATGAATTAAAACATAAGTTACCGACTATGCAGAAGCTTGTGATAATGTTAATTTTCAGAACAAAATGCAAAAACAGAGTGAAAACCTATCCTAGGTGAAATAATCCATTTTTGATTATTTTCATCAACAATTAAGAAATTCATAACTCAGTCAAAATCCAACCAACCCACTTCAGAATGTCCGAAAATACTCTATTTTATGTGCAACATACCGAAAAGCTCAAAAAATGTTGAAAAAGCCTACAGAAAATACTTTAGTTTCTAGAGAGGTTTCGCAGAAACTTTCGGAACCAAGAGGATTTTTTTTATTGAATTTAAGTATAGAATCATTTCAATTTGTAAATTCGTAGCGTTCGGACGTATTTTTCGTTCTACTTCAACTTGTTATTTTCACTCTCCATACATATAGAATACATAATGTCGAATTCATTTAATGAAGTATTTAACATCTATCTTTCTTCTCTAAATGATTCTACTAAAATATCACACGCTGACCTCTCTCAAGCCCAATTAATTGAACTAATGAGACGGTTCAAATCTAAAATGAATTCTACTGATGAAAAGATTGTTCACTTAAATAATGATATTAAACTGCTTAATGAAAGATGTGCTGATTTACGTCAAGTCAATGAACAACAAGGTGGTTTACTTAAGATGAATCAGCAACTGCTTGATCAGTTAGCTATTTCATCTCAACAACAGCTAGCTACAACAAATTTAATCGATAAGCTGTCTTTCACAATCGAAAATTTACACCCAGTTCTCGTAAATCAACCAAAACATGACATTAATTATCAACAGCAACTTACTCAATCTCTGGCACCTCCGTTATTACAAAATGATTCTGAATTATACATGCCCTCATCTGGTTCAGGGCAATCTCAATCACAGTCATCCATTCCTGTTAAGATGCACATAAAGCACGGTTAAAGTGAAAAAATAAAAAAAAAAGTGGTTTTGGTTATGATTCGTTTATATTGGTGATGATACAACTGTATAGAACGAAGTAATTTATCGTGGATCATAGCAGCAACTCTGAAGTCAACGACAGCAGTTATCAGCAAGTTTCCCTCTTGAAATGTTGGCAAAACCCTCTGAAAACCCATTAACCCCCCTCCCCCTCCGTTTCCCACCTCCCCGAAGTGTTCAGAAGTATCAGCATCGGTTTTAACCTCCTTACGCCTGTTTTCAACACATTCAGAGCAAAATTCGCAAAAGATACTGGAAAAGGACTTGGCTGTTTAAGAGGTGTGCTCAGTAAAAGTCGATTTTCTCAGCGAAGAA